TTCAGACTAGAAGGAAATAAACTAAACATCCTTCACTAAGCATATGTAATATCTTTAAAGGCAAAGAGTAAAAACGCATCACCACCGATCAGTCAGTATTTCTGCAGTGAATTAGAGCTATAGGCCTCATTAGTTTTGCAAGTATACACTCTTCTGCAGAAACTGAAAATATTGGCTTCCACTCTCACATAATAAATGTTGCTGAAATGTATCTGTTCAGTGCTGACCTTCGAAAATCAGATGCACATAATGCCAAGCGGTACGCACAATGGGACAATGTAATTTAACAAAAATAATGTTCTTAACAAAGCTGTTTTCTAAGCAGCCAGAAAAGTGTTTCTAAAACTTTAAACAAATAAAGCTATACAAGTAAAATAACAGCTACACCTGTAATTCAGGAATGACTTTTTCTTTCTCATTGATTGTGAACAATATCCTATCCTACACTATGCTGCACAGGAGAAAAATAGAAATTCTAAACCATGGTATCCCCATAAATACAGAAGAGTACCAACAGGCTTATTATCCTTAGGGTGAAACCAGGTGCTGTATTTACAGCTCTGTGCAGGAAGGGCAGGTATAGGCACAGTGAGAGAAAATTTATGTAAGAGGAAAGGAAAGGTTAACTTCTCAAAGCTGTTGCAAGTTTTTAATGTACGTTTCTGTTTGCAAGAAAAAATAATATTGGCCTCTCCGAAAGACTGTTAAGCCCATTGGAGAATGAGATGTGCAAGGTTCAGAAAGAGTAATTTGGGTATTTCCCAAAGTGTGCTTGAGTGTTTTGTCTTGTACTGGTCACAGGAACCAGCGCTCCCCTCACAGATGGAGTGATTTCTTAGTACTGGATGTTGCTAAGGAAAATATTTTTTATAGCATTTCTCTGTTCTGCTTGCTGTGTATTTCTTTTCTACTACAAAGTTTGGAAAGTTACTTTCCCTCTTTTGATCTGAAGTTTTTATGTTCCTTTGGGTTGTCAGTTCTATAACCACATGCCAGAGAGGATGAGATGCCCAAAGCACATGAAATGGATTTGTCAGGTGTTTTTCTTAAACAGTGGGAAGTAATATATTTTATAGCTTTTAGGTTAGGCTCCTGTCTGTCATCAGCGCTGATACTCATCACTAAATGCTGTGCCCTGCAAGGTCACTGCTGTTTTAACTGTCCCTTCTCCATCTCATCTCCTGCAGATTTTGTGAACATGTAGCTCTTGTTGTGATTTTACAGGGCATTTGGAGCGTATTTTCCATCTCATGCCTTTCTTTTTGACTTTCCATTTTTTAGAATGTGAATCTGTTCCCATAGTACATGCCAATTTGGTTTTCTTCCTCTATTTATTCTTGCTGGCTGTCGTCCCATTTCAGCTGAATATCTAAACCACATTTCCCCTTTGAAAAGCAACATGAAGGTCATTCTTTGATTCAGGCAGCAAGAGTTACTTACTATATGGGTAATATTTCTTTTTGTTCCATCTAAACTCATGAGAAGTATCATTCTCTGGGGAGGGAGAGTGGACTCTCTGGAATTACAAACTTGATTAAGGGAAAGTAATTATTGACCAGGTCTCTTTGAGCCTCAGAGAAAGATACATGTGTACATTTGGTATAATTTGCTTCTCAGCTCCCCACAAGAAAAGTCCACCCTGAAACTTAACAATTCCTAAGTTCTTGGAATTCAAAACTCCACAGTTTTAAGATTACAATTTCATAGTCATAGAATGCACTGGGTTGGAAGGGACATTTAAAGGTCATCTAGCCCAACCCCCTACAGTGAGCAGGGACATCTTTAACTAGATCAGGTTGCTCAGAGCCCCATCCAGCCTGACCTTGAATGTCTCGAGGGATAGAGCCCCCTCCACCTCTCTGGGCAACCCATTTCAGTGTCTCACCACCCTCGTAGTCAAGAACTTCTTCCTAACGTCTAATCTAAATTTACCCTGCCCTAGTTTAAAACTATTGACCCTCATCCTGCCACTACGTGCCCTTGTAAACAGCACTTTATCTTGTTTTTTTCATTATTTCATTCTATTTTTTATAAAGGCAGAGGAAGAGAATATCAGTTGTTTCTCTAGCATTTTCAAAACTCCTTTGGAGATTTGGAAGATGAACCCCGTGGAACTACGTCACTGTGGTAGCTGACTTGCCAGGCTGTTTACTGCTATTTGTTTAATGAAATGTATATAATTCCTTTACACAACAATTAATTTGAAGCGAGTAAAGCTGTCTTGAGATTCACATAGACTGTGCCTTTTGTTGCTATGTAGCATTGTTTATGCATTTTCTCTTAGCTGATGCATGTAATGATATTTGTGATAGAATGTACATAGCAATTGGTGCACCTGAACTCTTCTTGATTTCTCTTCAGCATGAACAAAGTTAGTCTTTTAACAGTGAGTATTTTTATGCAGTCCCGGACACCCCAGAAGGCACCAAGATTCTATAAAACACAATTTACAAGGTGTAAGGATCAATATTTCACTGTTAGTATAAGAATATAGTGATAAGTTCATTCTCTGATCATGCTGAGTATAAGCCAGTATTAAATTGCTAGAAAAGGCAGAGTGGACCCAGCTGATCTCTGCTCTCATCCTATAGCCATTATTGCAATTTACGGGAAACATGACGAATGAGAAGACCTGATAATAACTGTGTTTTCCTTCCTTCCTTCCTTCCTTCCTTCCTTCCTTCCTTCCTGCCTTCCTGCCTGCCTGCCTGCCTGCCTTTTCATTATTGTTTCTAATTTGTGGATTCTGAACTTAGTTTTCCTGTTTGAGTGTTTGAGGTATTATTCACACACAAAAGAGGTAGTACATTAATTTCCACCTGTTGTCTCTCTCTTTGAAATAACAAAACTTATTCTAATTGTTTACTGGAGATACCAACAGGAAGAAAAAAATGCCATAAGTTCTGTCAGCTGTACTTAAAAATGTCTGCTTTCATTCAGTCTAAAATGATACATATATTTTTTAAACTTTAATATTTCTTACCTGAAAACCATAGAAAGAGCTTCATGATGACCAGTCAAGTTTAATTTTAACTGCTCAGTCTGTCTACGATAGATTTTTAAAAAGTCAAGTCAGTGCTGCAAATGATAACTAATTTTCTGTCTGTGTAGACCTTCACACCACTCAGTGTTTTGGAAATTTGAACTTACTATTTGAAAGAGTTCTGTCACTGGAACAAAAATGTTAAGCTATCAATTTACTGTTGCAAAAAGCAGGAAATAGGCAGAAGCAAAAAGAAGAAAAAAGATTTAATCAATGCCATGTGGAATCAGTAAACTGTAAATGTCATCAGGTAGTTTTAAATAATTACTGTGACATTACTGTGACACAGGCATAAAAACTTCAGTTCTGACAAAACGCATAAATTGATTGTTAGGAGATGCCCAGAACTTTCTATGAAATCCACATTATATTCCAGTTTAACAACTGTCAGGCACCAGGTTTTTACCACATTTTGCTTTTGAGTGGTTATATAATTTCAGCTATCAATATCGTACATATATATTTATTTGAATTAGATTTATATGAAAGATCATAGATTTTAGTCGAGATACAGAAAACATCTCATTTTCTCCAGCTTATGTTTAGGTTTGTGTTTACATTTGGTGTCATTTAGTGACAGGTCTGAAAATATGAGAATAAGTAAGTGTAGCCAGCAAGATAGTGCTCACACTGAACATCTTACCAGAGTTGAAATTATTGAAAGTAGTGCAGGCAAATAACATTCAGTACATAATGCAGTGTGTATAGTAATATGTTAGAGAAATAAACTGATTGATATTCTTTGTTGAGCTACATGTGGTACATCCATTTATAAGAGTTCCAGGGTAGAGTAAAATTAAGAAACTTAAAATATACCTTTACTCTGAAACATACTGCAATTGTTTTAGTTATATAAAAAAAATCCCAAGAATTGTTGAAAGTGAAATGTTTAGTTAAATACATATTAAATAAATAAATTTATTATTTGTCACTTTTCAGCTAGCTGACAAATGTGGAAGGGAATCAGAAATCATTTATTCATATGTTTTTTATCATGTCATGGCCAGAGCAGACAGGAAAGATTTTTATACTCAAATGACATTTTCTATATATGGATGTAAGTGACCACATGAAGCTAGGAGCAGAAGAATCAAGCCTTGCATTTTGGTTAGATACTCCAATCAAGCCACAGCCAGTTCCTAACTTAATCACTTGGCAATTTTGTTGTACCCTCTCTTTCTAATTTTAAATCTCTTCAGAGTGGAGGCCGTGCTTCCTTTTGGTTATAGACTGCCTTACTCATCTTGCTCCTTTAAAACTGCACTTTGACAACTGTTTCTTTCAGTAGCAATGCTGACACAAGCAACCCTGTGCCCTTCATTCCTTTCATCCCCTCCCATTTGTTCCTGCCTCAATACCACATTTTCTCGTGGTTTGTGGGGCTTTGCAGTGGTTTGAGCTCAGCTGGAGAATTAATCCTGGTTAAAAATAACCCAGGCAGATAAAAAAGTGTTGAGTTTTAATGTCATTTGCTTCACTTCAGCTCAAGTAGTTGAGTCGGCACATTTGAGGCACTGTTCTGGACACTGTAATGTGTACACAGGGTTGAAGGAATGCTGCCCAAAATAATTTTCATTAAACAGGGCCCAAACACTTGAGTGGTTTCCTTAAAGTGCTTAATTCTTTTCCCATTCACAGTTATTTTCGTAATCCCAGTGGATTTCATGATATTACATGGATTTAATGATACTGCTTTACCTACAACTTCTGTTGCCAGTCAGTAGTTGAAGCCTGTTTATCTGATATTGCTAACATCAATCATCCATGTAGTGACTGATAAATAATAACATGAGTAAACTTGTTAATAAATATGAGTAAGTAAACATATTCTGTAAGTATACCCTGAAGTCTAATTAAATGTTGATTAAGCTTTTACAAACCCAGAACACAAAATCATTTATCTATTCTTTACTGATAAATGAAATAGCAGAAACTTTTAGCCTTTTCTTTTTTTCAGGTGTAGAGCTGAACTCATTGCGCCAAATGAAGATCCAGAGACCTCTGACCATGCTTACAGATGTCCGACAGCTCATATCAGGTGGAGGAAGCGTGAATCAGAGGAATGATGAAGGAGTTACCCTGGTGAGTGGGAATATGCAATCATTACCCTCTGAATATGTGGGTACTGCAGCTGTGTACTGCTGAGCATGTTTGCAAAGCAATGATCTAAGAAGGGAAATGAGGTTGTACAGGATTTTTATTCTCATCTGGCTTTCTGCAAGTGGATATATGTCAATGCCATGCATAGTACAGATTTTAAATAGGCTAGTGCAACATCTGTGTCTTGATGACAACTTACTTACTGTTTGCCACTGAATATGCAACACAAAAATTAATAGCAAAAATAAATAAATATTGGCACTGTAGTTTAGAACTGAAGCAGATACTTGTGTTCTCTGATGTTCTGTGTAAGAGAAGACCTGAAACTTCCCTCAGTGATTCCTGGTTTAGACTTATATCTTCTGGCTGAGCCAGGTTAAAACACTGTTTCATAAAGCTATATCATATTGATTCAGTGTAATGAAGCATCAACTATCTCAGTAAATAAGTATTCCTTCTCTCAAATTTGCATGTTATTTGTAGTCACTGGGTGTCATTATACTTTTTTTCTGTATCACTACTACTTCAGCTGTCAAATAATTTTAAAACTAAAGTAATAAAATATTTTTTTTTAATCAGTTTTTCTCTAGATAGCATGTCTGTAGAATGTTCTCTTTGCATATAAAACCTTCAGCATCATAACCAATAGATGCTTATCAACAGCATTAAGATACTGAATAACTTTTTAAAAATTATTTTGATTTTTTTTCAGCAAAAATGACTAGAAGGCATGTGTTATTGAATATTACTATTTAGTAGTAGTAGTAGTAGCAGCAACAGTAGTAGTATTTCAGCATTATTTACTGAATTAGTACACTGAGTCATTAGTGTTTAATTCCATGTTTTAATAACTGTGAAACGTCTACATTTTAACTGAAAAATTGAGCAGCCTCATAACTGGGACTGTTGAATGCAGCCACTGTCCCTGTCTATATAGACAGTTAATTGTAGTTACAGAATCACAGAATCATTATGGTTGGAAAGGACCTCCAGGGTCATCAAGTCCAACCTTTTTCCCAGCATTTCTCTAACCACTACACCATATCCTCAAGCGCCATCTATTCGTTCTTTAAACACCTCCAGGGATGGCGACTCCACCACCTCCCTGAGCAGCCTGTTCCAGTGCCTAACTACGCTCTCAGTGAAGAATTTCTTCCTAATATCTAATCTAAACCTCTTCTGGCGCAACTTGAGGCCATTCCCCCTCGTCCTATCATTACTAATTTGAGAGAAGAGACAAACACCAGCCTCGCTACAACCTCCTTTTAGATAGTTGTAGAGGGCAATAAGGTCTCCTCTCAGTCTCCGCTTCTCTAGACTAAACAAACCCAGTTTCCTCAGTCACTCTTCATAGGGCATGTTTTCCAGCCCTTTCACCAGCTTTGTTGCCCTTGTCTGCACCCGCTCCAGCACCTTGATGTCCTTCTTGTACTGTGGTGACCAAAACTGGACACAGTACTCAAGGTGAGGTCTCACAAGTGCTGAGCACAGGGGCACGATTACCTCCCTACTCCTGCTGGTCACACTGTTTCTGATACAGGCCAGGATGCCGTTGGCCTTCTTGGCCACCTGGGCACACTGCTGGCTTTCAGCCGGCTATCAACCAACACCCCCAGGTCCTTTTCCGCTAGGCAGCTCTCCAGCCACTCCTCCCTAAGCCTGTAGCGCTGCTGGGGGTTGTTGAGACCGAAGTGCATGACCCGCACTTGGCTTTGTTAAACCTCATACAATTGGCCTCAGGCCATGGCTCCAGCTTGTCCAGGTCCGACTGCAGAGCCTGCCTACCCTCAAGCAGATCGACAGTTAGAAACAGGAAGGGAGCAGGTGAGGGGTGGGAAGACAGAGTGTAACTTTTATTTTAATACGTAAAAGCGTTAATTTGACTTCTAGATTTTTGATACATTTAAGCAAAACTGCTGAATCACAGTAAAAAGGAAAATTGTTTCTGTTGTACTTTGGTCTTAGTCTGAATTGGCTCAGTTAAACTGGATTATGAACTTATCTAACGATAGCTATATCAAACCTTTCCTGTAGTTAGCTGGAAAGAGTTGAAATGCATGCCTGAAATATATTTAACAGTGCTGCAAATCCTAGGAAAAAAGCATTGTGGATAGTTTGGGTTTTGTTCTTTTCTTGGTGGGATGTTGACAAAGAGAACATTTTTTGCATGAAAAGATTTTGTGTTAATCTTTGATTTTTCAGACTTCTTGGGTGGTCTTGCAACAAGTAGCTACAGAGTGGATCATTTTGCTTTTGTTTGAGATTCCTATTACGTGCAACTTTTGTCTGATAGACTTGTGGGAAATCCAGAATTTGTTAAACTGCTCTGTCTGTATTCATGGATGTGGAGTCAGCCAGTCTGTGATAGCTGTATGTGTATCAATGGGTTCTGGGAATAGTTATTTTTTGTTGCTCTACATCTATCCGTACAGAGAAAACAACAAGTACCTCATTTGTAAATAGTAAATGAGATTTGTTTTCTCTTGGTAGTACATATCTAAGTGAAAGTTAAGTTGAATCAGGCAAAAAAATTGATGCCATACGTATATAAAAGCACACATTATCATGGATTCATAGCACATACACATGTGCTCATGCAATACAGACACGGGACAATAAATGGCAAAACTAATTTTTCTGCTAAGTTCTCCTGTAATATTTTTCTTCTTTGAAATGTTTCAGTCATATTTCCTTTGTCCTGTGAGCTTTTAAACTACTTTAAAATAGTACTTGTCAAACTGATGTCTGAATAGAAAATGTAATTTTTTCTCCTAAAACAGAAGAAAAACTGACGCTATGTCACATTACGGGAAAAACTTTAGTGTTCTCTATATCTGAAATTAGAAAATTTCTACCATACAGAATTGGTGCTCTTGCTCCATGACAGGGGTATTCTACTCCTTTTCCAGGGGAAGACTGATGAACTCCAATGTATTTCATACCTCTGCACTGAGCATGTTTGTAGAGAAAATTTTATATATACTCTGCAGGTGCAGCTGAACCAGAAATAGCCAAAAAGGCAAATAATATCCTGGACTCTGTTTTTGGTGTCTCCTATGTGACTGTCTCATCACAGTGAATTTGGAACTAAGCAAGTCTAGTAACAGATTTATTGCAAGACTTTTTCTTGCTTTTAGCCATCCATTTAATCATTAGAAAAATAGTCTTTTTGACTAACATTATTTCAAGGGGAAAAAAGCCCATCTAGTTAAACTATGTGGTTTGGTGATATAGATTACCACCTATAATATCACTTCTCCATTTCTGCAATATTGCTTAGCCCTGTTCTTAGTGACCAATATGAGAATTGATGCCTTCTGGCCTGGTGTGAACAATTGTATTGTGCCAATTTCCAAATGAAAATTTTGTCCCCTTTCTTCCCAGAAGTGGAGGGAATTTTTGAAATAATAGCAGAGAACCGTGAGAAAATAAAGACCACTAAACTGTAAACTGGATCAATCTCTTCACAAGAAGCATGTGCCTCAACAGGGTTACCATACATAAGAAACAATTTTCACCAAAACCTGCGAATGACACGTTTTCCCTGATGTAGGATTCTTTATTTCATTTTTCTCTTTTGCTTGATTATTACCAGAGTAAATAATTTTTATTACCCTACTATGGCTTTCTCTATGATCCCTTTCTCTTTCCTCAAGTCCTGTTTGGTATTTATTGCTTTTATACTTACTTTCCATACTTGCTATTTGTATTGATTAAATAAAAAATAAATTTATCTTCCTTTTTTTTGTCCTCCCAATCGCATTCTATCAATACCATTTATAGTGGAATCGATTGCTGGTATAAATGTCAAACACGCAGAGAGCCTTAAGTAGTAATATATTGCAAAAGTTAATGTCCAGTTTCTCAAATCAGTCATTAACAAAGACATTTTTTAGTTTCCTCTTTGCCCTTCTTGCCACTACAGTTTTCAGTGCCATATCAGTCACGCTGTATATGCTACCCTAAATGACAAGCCATGACCGCAGCTACCTTTGCAGTTGTCCCTGTCTTAGCAGCAAGTTCCCCTACTCGAC